CTTGGTACTGGAAGCCACAATCACTGACACAGTGTGTCTTACACAGTCCTCAATAATGGTTTTTGGTACTGGAAGCCACAAATCACTGACATGGTGTGTCTTGCACAGTCCTCAATACTGGTTCTTGGTACTGGAAGCCACAAATCACTGACATGGTGTGTCCACGCAGTCCTAAATAATAGTCATGGGCACTGGAAGCCACTCCTCACTGACATAATTCACTGGTTTACATGCACTGTGAAAAACTTTTCAACAGCATTTTTTATTACCGGTAATCTATTATAAACCTTGCCAGGGGACAACATTGCTATGCCATGGTCAATTTTATCATCGATCATCGGTACCTGACTTACCACTGTCATTTTCGTTGATCTTAATCATCTGCAGTTAAATAAAACCTGCTCCAATTTACAGTGAGGTAGTTTTCTTTCCAATACATTATATATCCAAAACTTTCGGGCTTGGAGCCTTAATATTATCATTCAATCCACTTCTTTTTCTGGTGTTTTTATGTCAAAACCACTGAATGGTCTCACCTAACTTTCAGAGTTTTGATTGGTCAACTGGTTTGGCAGCCATATTGGATTGAAGTGAAATCGGAAGTAACTATTTTTAACCCTTTCTGAGAGTCTGAGCATTCTGAATTTTTTTGTAACATTATTATTATTGTTTGACCAATATAACAATTAAAAAACTTTAGCAATCATGTGACTTTTTCTGCCATGTATAATGAAATAAATTTGATCAGTCATATGGTTTGGCTGCCATCTAGATATGGGGTGAGGTCAGTGCCAAAGCTAATTTTATTTGCTTTACATGGTTTTGTATTTGAGTGTGTTTTTTTTGTATTTTATCATTAAGTTGACATTTTTATATTATCTTTCCATTAGATTGGCATTGTGTTGACATTTATATATTGTCTTTGCATTAAGTTGGCATTGTCTAGAAATTTTTATATTGTCTTTGCATGAGGTTGGCATTGTCTTCAATTTTTTGAATTTTCATCATTATGACATTATGTGTTGCATTAACATAATTTGTGAAAAATCAAACTCCCTAGGCCAGGTAACAACCCATACAAATGAATTGGTGGCTGCTTCTTAGACAGTAAGCATTGAATATGCCCAGTTTGTCAACATTAGATAAGCTACATGTACCTTAAAAATGTGACCAGATTAAAGTTATCAAAATCACGATTACTTTATGTGATAAATTATGCCTTGTCAAAATATCGTCTGATTGTGCTATATAAGAAGATTGTCAGAATAATTTCAGGCAATACCTTTACAGTTATACCTACACCTACAACATGTACCTGTACTGACTACCTCAGCCACATGTATAGACCATGGCAGCGATACCAACCCCATTGCACCTGTCCCATACTGACCACAGCAGCCACACTAATCCCATACTGACCACAGCAGCCAAACAAGTCATATACTGACCACAGCAGCCACACTAGTCCCATACTGACCACAGCAGCCACACTAGTCACATACACTAGTTCCATACTGACTACTGCAACCACACTAGTCCCATACTGACCACAGCAGCCACACTAGTCACATACACTAGTTCCATACTGACTACTGCAACCACACTAGTCGCATACTGACCACAGCAGCCAAACAAGTCCCATACTGACCACAGCAGCCACACTAATCCCATACTGACCACAGCAGCCAAACAAGTCATATACTGACCACAGCAGCCACACTAGTCCCATACTGACCACAGCAGCCACACTAGTCCCATATTGACCACATTAGCCACACTAGTCACATACACTAGTTCCATACTGACTACTGCAACCACACTAGTCCCATACTGACCACAGCAGCCACACTAGTCACATGCACTAGTTCCATACTGACTACTGCAACCACACTAGTCCCATACTGACCACAGCAGCCAAACAAGTCCCATACTGACAACAGCAGCCACACTAGTCCCATACTGACCACAGCAGCCAAACAAGTCCTATACTGACCACAGCAGCCACACTAGTTCCATATTGACCACATTAGCCACACTAGTCCCATACTGACTATAGCAGCCACACTAGTGCCATAGTAACCACTACAGCCACACTGATTCCATACTGACCACAGCAGCCAAACAAGTCCTATACTGACCACAGCAGCCACACTAGTCTCATACTGACCACAGCAGCCAGACTAGTTCCATATTGACCACATTAGCTACACTAGTTCCATACTGACCACAGCAGCCAAACAAGTCCTATACTGACCACAGCAGCCACACTAGTCTCATACTGACCACAGCAGCCAGACTAGTTCCATATTGACAACAGCAGCCACACTAGTCCCATACTGACCACAGCAGCCACACTAGTTCCATATTGACCACATTAGCTACACTAGTTCCATACTGATCACAGTAGCCAGACTAGTTCCATACTGACAATAGCAGCCACACTAGTCCCATACTGACCACAGCAGTCACACTAATCCCATACTGACCACAGTAGCCACACTAGTTCCATACTGACAATAGCAGCCACACTAGTCCCATACTGACATCAGCAGCCACACTAGTCCCATACTGACCACAGCAGCCACACTAATCCCATACTGACCACAGTAGCCAGACTAGTTCCATATTGACCACAGTAGCCACACTAGTTCCATACTGACCACAGTAGCCATACTAGTCCCATACTGACCACAGCAGCCACATTTGTCCCATACTGACAACAGCAGCCACACTAGTCCCATACTGACAACAGCAACCATACTAGTCCCATACTGACCACAGCAGCCACATTTGTCCCATACTGACAACAGTAGCCACACTAGTCCCATACTGACAACAGCCACACTAGTCTCATACTGACCACAGAAGCCACACTAGTCCCATACTGATAACAGCAGTCACACTAGTTCCATGATGACCACATCAGCCACACTAATCCCATACTGACCACAGTAGCCAGACTAGTCCCATACTGACAACAGCAGCCACACTAATCCCATAACGACCACAGCAGCCACACTAGTCCCATACTGACAACAGCAGCCACACTAGTCCCATACTGACCACAACAGCCACACTAATCCCATAACGACCACAGTAGCCAGAGTAGTCCCATACTGACAACAGCAGCCACACTAGTCCCATACTGACAACAGCAGCCACACTAGTCCCATACTGACCACAGCAGCCACACTAGTCCTATACTGACAACAGCAGCCACACTAGTCCCACACTGACCACAGCAGCCACATTAGTCCCATACTGACAATAGCAGCCATACTAGTCCAATACTGACAACAGCAGTCACACTAGTTCCATGATGACCACAGCAGCCACACTAGTCCCATACTGACAACAGCAGCCACACTAGTCCCATACTGACAATAGCAACCATACTAGTCTCATACTGTCCACAGCAGCCACACTAGTGCCATACTGACCACAGCAGCCACACTAGTTCCATGCTGACAATAGCAGCCACACTAGCCCCATACTGACAACATCAGCCACACTAGTCCCATACTGACAACAGCAACCACACTAGTTCTATACTCACCACAGCAGCCACACTAGTCCCATACTGACAACAGCAGCCACACTAGTCCCATACTGACCACAGCAGCCACACTAGTTCCATATTGACCATGGCAGCCACATTAGTAACATTAGTCACATACCTACCACAGCAGCCAGACTAGTGCCATACTGACAACAGCAGTCAC